GTCCCATGAACCAGAGCCCCTGGATCAGGCCAGTGGGTGGTGAAAACAGATGCTGGGCTCTCACTGCGGACTGGAGGTCTATATCCAATTTCCTGCAAAGCGCTCACCGGGCTTGGGGAGCACCTCCCGTCTGGGATGAAGTGTCCTGATGACCAGCCCGAGATTGGGAAGAGGCTAGATTTGGGGAGTAGGAGTGGATGCGCTGCACCTAGCACTGAGCAGGCAGGGAAGGAGGGGCTGTGGCCAAGGCAGGGCCTCTTCCGGCCCCGAGGAAGGGTGCCATGGGAACGAGAACCTTGTCCTCCCACAGCAGCAGGAAGCAACAAGAAAGTGGAATTTGCTCCCACGTGTCCCTCTGAATTCACCTGTGTTTCTGCACTGTTTTCCATCTGGCTGGCAGTGTGCATGCCCGTGCAGCATGGAGGCCTCAGAGAGTGGCTTCTACAAATGGCTGTGGAAACTTCCCGCCCTGCTCCCTTTCAAGTCCTGCACACATAAAGCCAGAGAAATGCTAGCCACAGGACAGAGGAATAAAGGTCAGGCCAGGAATCAGAGCCACAACGGCTTTATCACAGCCCAGAAGCGGAGCCTCTGACATTTGCAGTAGAAAAGTAAATACCACAAGGAACTCAGAACCACAAAGCAAGCTACTAGAAGACTGTTGTTAAAGATTAAGGAAGAATGCATCCGGAATCTCCACAGTGGGAACTGTCCATCTTGGAAGGCGACAGCAGGAAGCTCGGTAGTGTAACTCCCTTCCCCTCTTTGCAAATGCTTTCAAATTCTCCTGGACATGCACAAAAGTGGAGGAAAGAGGAAAGGGAGTGCTAGAGATGCCCTACAAACCATGAACACAGGTCCATCTAAGGCAGGTCATTCCAGAGGTCAGGATGGACTTCAGGGAAACACACACACTCCTCCACGAACATGGGGTAAACCACTTAATCTAGCATTCCAGACCAGCATTATCCAACACACATATGCAGAGAGCCACATGCATCATTTAGAACTTTCTAGTAGCCACATTTTAAAAAGTAAAAGAGAAAGCGGTGAAATTATTGTAATAATGCAGTTTATTTAAGTGCAGTTTTAGGAACACATCCATGTGTAGCCAATACATGGTCTTTGCAACCCACTGAGCATTTCACACTTAGACTACATCTCAGGGTGGACAGGCCATTGTTGGCCACACTCCACTGTCCCACTATCCCTCCCACACCTGACTTACACCCTACTTCTTCCCTCCCCAAATGCACCCCAATACTTCAGCAAGCACATCTGACTTTTCAGGATGGTCCTAACTGCACTCCTTGTGTTCAGGGCACCAGAGGACCCAGTTTGCAGTATCAAGTGCAGTGTCTCCCTGTTCGTTGGGCCCTGCTCTAGAGTTGCTCTGCCTAGGTCTGAATCCATCTTTGCCGCACTCAACTGGAGGAGGTCATTTAACAACTCTTTAGCCTCCATTTCCCATTTCAGAAACAGAAGAACAGTGCTTTTCCCAGCGTTGGGAGGAAGAGAAGATGATATTCTTGGAACAACACATCCCAGTTCAATGCCAGAAGCAAAAGTAGAAGTGAAGTGATCCATTTCTCCACCGCAGGCCCTACCTGGGATGGAAAAACAGATCTTTTCTAACCTGAGTACCTTATCCATGATGCACCCTGCTGTCCAGACTGTGTTTCAATCCACTGAAACTTCCTGTCCATCCTGGAGGACTAAAGGACACTCTTCCCTCTCCTCACGTCCTCCTCAGGACCCTCATGCTCTCTCCCTCGCCCTCCAGCACCCCGATGACTCTTGTAGGACTCGGTTCACCACTGGACTTTCCCTCAAGCTAAGGTCCTTACTAAATTTGTGACTCTCACCCACAGCCTGTTCATCCACTTTACATACACCCAGGCTGTGGAAACCTCCCGCCCTGCTCTCTTTCAAGTCCTGCACACACAATGACAAAGAAATGCCTTGTCAGGCCACACATCTGAGGAATAAAGGTCAAGCCAGGAATCAGAGCCACAATGGCTCCCGACATTCAAAATGCAATATTGAAACAAATTAATAAATGGCCAACAGCCCTGATGCAATATCCTGGCCCTTCCATTATAGTATAAACACCATGCCAATATAAGCAAAAAAGGGATTTCTGTAACTGGAGAGGTCCTGTCCAGCTATGCCCTTACTTGAGGACCCACACCTGCATCCCTGGCTCTGTCTACCACAGCCCTCCCCATCACAAAGTGGCTCCTGGAGCACAGCCCAGGTCCCCGGATGCTGGACCTCCCCGGGGGTGGTCGCCAACACACTCTGCGGATGTCATGGAGGAATCATTACCCTGCAGGCTCATAAGGCAGGTAGGTGAGCACAGGGCAGTGGTGTGGAAGCCCAAGAGCTCCGGAGGCCAGCGGGAAACACGGCTGACACATCAGTGCGCACAGTTATGCATGGGCCACAGCCGCATTTATCCCAGCGGGGCAGAGGCCCAGACCTGACCTGCAGCTTCAGGACAGGGTGTCACTAGCAGTGCCGGTCCATCATCAGATCCATTTTTCCGTCCCAAACAAAATACAATGAGAGCAAAGGAATTTTACTCTTTGAAATAGAAACTTTTTGAAAATCGAGGTTGTATAATAAAATGTTCATCTGTTTAAAATGAAAAAGTGAATCTTGAAAAAAGAAAGATCATTAATTCCTTCTATGAAAGTGCTGTGTTCTTTTGACTTTAGAAAACAGAGGCTGGTCCTCAGAAGTGTCTGTTTCACAAACTAGAAATACTGCTTACTTCGAATTTTAAGGAAGGCTTTCTTCCTTCCCCAAACAGGGCCTTCTACACTGCTGAGGGCTCTTATTTATCTCTTCATGACACTCAGCCTGCCTGGGGAGGGAAGAGGCTGAGAAGTGTGGGCAAGGCAGCTCGGGAACTGGCCTGCTCCCCACAGGGCCAGAGGGAGCAGGTGACCACCGCGCTGTCTGCGCTCTCTGCTGCCCTCTTTGCTTCCTCCCTGGTTCCTATCCAGGTGCCCCACTGTCCTGTGGAGTACAAGTCACGTCAGTTCAGCAAACCCCACAATTAATGTACAGAAGCAGCTACAGGAAGCAATTTCAGTGAGCCTAATCCCGCTGTCCCGCAGACCAAGCCCATTAAAGCCAGGGCCCTTTGGAAGTCAGCCAGGTGCAAACACACTTCTGGCCAGCTCATGTTAAGTGAGAGACTTTAAAGGCTGTGGCATTTCCTCAGTATCTCCAAGATGCGATTTAAGCACCACAGCCCAGGGCAATTGGTCCTTGTGGAAACCACTTCCTGACACTGTAAAACCACAGGACATGGACTGTGACTCTAGAATCCAAGATGTTCCCATGGACACACAAGGGGCCAGAGACAGAGAGCTGCATCAGGACCTCCACCTCGCCAGACCTCCCCTGGCTGCCCAGGCCTGATGGATATCAGCCCCTTTCCCTTCCCACAGCCTCTGAAGTGAGAAAAAGTCACCCCAAGGGCTCAGCACTCAGCCAGCACATGCTCACATGGTCCACCACTGGTTATTACAGCACAGGTCCCAAGGCCCCCTCTGGGCGAGAACAGAGAAGAGGCCCAGCCCTCCCCTTTCCTCCATTGGGGGCCAGACCTGGTTTCTGGCCTTGACTCCAGGCAGGGAGGCTGGAAAATGCACAGGAGAAGTCTGGAGAGCGCAACTAACCTCTGCCCTTATATTGCTGTTATACACAGTTCAAAAGCAAAGAAAGACAAAGATCATATTTTCTAAGGAAAAATGTGCTAAAACTATAGAGGAAACACACACAGAACACACACAGGAACTGGGTTCTGGCAGTTTGTGGATAACTTAACTGACTAATCTGTTTATCTGAACAAGAAATCAGCAGAACATCATGGAGATGAAGAGAAAGAAGTTCTTCAGACTGCCAGACACACAGAAGGCAGGCAGAGAGGCAGGAATAATGCTCTGAGGTCAAGCAACCCATGTGCCTGAGCCCCACACAAATGCAGTCGTCTGGGCCCTCAGAGCAAGAAATTACTTTTTTCTATTTCTTTTATTTTTCAGTAAGGGTGTGTGAACATTTAAAATGATGTCTATATTTGTATTATATATACATCTCGCATATTTCTGTAGGACAGTGATAGTCTGGGGAGTGGGCAGAAAGCAAATGAACGAATAAAGACACTTTCACATTGATTAGGCAATGGTGAGAGCCACCAAGACAGGGCAGGGTGAGGGGTGCCACAGCTCAGCCCCAAGGGCTTCTGTCCCCCCGGATGGCGGTTTTGAGAGCTGTGTAAAGAGAGGCCTGGGACCCAAGGCAGAAGGTGTGATGTGGAGTCCCCAAGGGCTGGGGTACAGAGCCATGAGTGTTAGCCTGGAAATGGTGAGGGAGGCACAGAGGAGGCAGAGGCAGCAGGTCCTAGCCCTGCCTGGACCTGGAGGCCCAGTCATGGACGCTGTCTCCAAGGTCTGAGCACTCAGGGTGATGGTAATGGTGTGGACAAACGAGACAGAGGCTGACCTGCTCTCAGGGAGAACCAGCAGCAGAGGCCACAGTTACACTTCTCTGGCCTCTGTCTTCCCCTCTACCAGAGGATGGGCTACAGGGTCAGGTGTCCCACCCTAGCCTTGCATCGGTGTGTTCCATCGGGTCTTCAGTCTTGGCCCACAGGCGCGAGGGTTCCAGCACATGTGTGTTGTATGTGTGTGAGTCTCATCTCCCCAGAACTGTTCACCGCCTGTGCTAATACTGCACAGCCTTCCACAGTATTTACTGATGGGAACACTAGGGCCAAGAGGGAGCTCATACCACCACACCACCCACCCCAAAGCCACACGGGTTGGCAGCAGCCCCAAGGAGAGCTGACTGGGAGAAGGAAACGGCTGATTCCGAGCAGACTTAGCGATGCCCATGCGGGAGAAGTCAGCCTCTCCACACAGGGCACAGAGACACCCAGCACACAGATGCCACAACTCTGGTCCCCATGTGGCCACTGTGGTCCTCACCTGAGACGCTCTTCCTCCTTCTTGCGGAGATTGAAGTCTCTTTGCACCACCTGGAGAACATGCTCTGTCTCATCATCCGTCAGGCCGGACAGGTCCAGCTTCCTCCCCATGGCTCAGTGCTGAACACAGGCGATAGACCGAGACCTGGGAGACCAAGCAGAGGTCACAGTGAGTGAGGCAGTGCCAGGTATGGACACAGCCTGCCCTAACACACACAGAAGTACACACAGTGTTTCCATGGAGCCTCGCTAAAGGCAGTCTCTGTCCCCCCAACACTAGCACAGGACAAAGGACCACAGCTGGCCATCTTAAACACAGATGCCAACAAACTTAGCAGAGTATCAGCAAAACCAATTCAGCAAGATATACAAAAGATTATACACCTCGAGAAAGCAGGTTTTATCTAAGCAACCCAGTTTTCCCATCATTCAAAAATAAATATGCATCACTCACATGTTAACATAATAAATGGGAGACAAGTGCTATGATCATTTCAATTGATGCAGAAAAGGCATTTGGCCAAATTCAGTACCCGTTTACAACAGGCACTCTCTGCAACTAAGACTACAAGGAAACCTCCTTACTGTCATAAGAGCACGTACAAAAGTGCTCACTGACTCAAGGCTGAATGCTTTTCCCAAGATCAGGACAAAGACCCAGACGTTCACTCCCACCCCGTGCTCAGTACAGAATGTCTAAGCTACATTAATCAAGACCCAGTGGCCCTGGAGGGGAGGAATGGGTAGTGTACTGCCGTGCCAGAAGCAGCAGATTTTTATTTTCTCATGGATTTTGCAGGTGCCTTGAAGGCACTCCTCCCTCAAGGCCTGGGCACCCCGGCCTAGGGTGGGAGTGGCAGCCTCCAAACTCTCCAGGACGCTTGCGGAGCTCCTCTTCCATTCCTTCAGTGAACAGCACCACCATCTCCTAACCCTGTGAGTCTCAGAATTCATGTGGCCACAACCAGGTGTTGTATCCTGAACTCCCCTTTCCTTCTTTTGCTACATGGCCAGACTAAGAATATTCCAAATTGTTAACTGCATCTTCCTCTTTGATTATATGTCTCATCTGTCATTCACCACTGTCTTCAGGTTTTACCATAAACAGGCACACAAAGCCATGCAGTACCCCCCGCACTCTGTGTAGGGATTTCCTCTGCCAAACCCCATGTGACCCGGGCAAGACTCATCTCCCACAAAGTTTCACCACATGGAAACAACTCAGCCAAGTTCTTGGCCACTTTAAAACCAGAACAGAGGGCCGAGGATTTAGCTCGGTGGTTTCACCTCAAGGGCCTAAATTTGATCCCCGATACCAATAAATAAATAAAACCAGGACAGGAATCTGGTGCTGGACAATTAGGAAATAATAAACTGGATTCGTACCTCACACCATGCACAAAAATAAATTTCAAGAGAAAAGGCAATCCAAAACCTGGGAACAAACGTTCGCAACACATATAATTGACAAAGTAGTTATATTTAGCTTATAAAAGAACTCCTACAATTTAATCAAGGCAGCAACTAATAGAAAAATGAGCAAAAGATTTGAACAATTATCATATATATATACATATATATATATATATATATATGTATATGACAGAAAAGGCAAATTAAAAGCACCTCCCACAGCTGATGCTGTAGTTTGGACCTGGAATGTCCCTTAACGGCCTGTGTGCCAAAGGCTTAGTCCCCACTTTGGGCCACTTTTGGGAGGTCAAGGACTTTATAGGATCTGGTGGTGGGAAGTGAGGCCACTGGGAGCCTGCCTTTGGAGGGGACAGTGTCTTCCTCTCTTTTTACATCCTAGCTGTCAGGAAGTGAGCAGTTTCCTCCACCATGAGCTTCCACCAAGATATTCTGCCTTACACAGGCTCCAGGCAGAGGAGCTCAGCACCATGGACTGAACCCTATGAAACCATGAACCAAAGCAAACCTTTCCCCCTTATGAGCTGTCATCTTAGGAATTCCGTGTCTCTGATGGAAAGCTAATATGCCTACCACACGAAATGTCTACTAAACACTGATAGGAGGTGGACAAGCAGCTTCCAAACTGGGGTGTAAATTGGTACAATCTGTTTGTGACTCAATCAGCTCTCACTCAAATGTGGAGGATGTGTGGACCCTCCTGATGGAGGTATATTCCTCAGATACAATCTTGCAAATATACACCAAGAGATGGGAATCGGGTTGAATTACACAGGCTGTTTTTATTTATAAAATAGCAATTCCACACCGTTCAACCTGACAGAAGGCTATTAGTAGAGACATATTCAAACCAGCACAAGATAAAGTAAATAAAGCCTGGAAACAACCCCATACATCCATGAACAGGAGAAAGAGAACCAAAATAGTGCGTATTTCTTCATGCAATGGAGCACTCTGCCATCGTGACAAAGAGTGCATAAAAGTCCCATGAACACTGGGGATGGGTCCTAACATCGCATCTTGAGACACAGACGCAGACCACGTGTGGGACACACTGCAGCACGTGGACACATGATTGCTCTTATACACAGTTCAAAAGCAAAGAAAGATAAAGATTGTATTTTCCAAGGAAAAATGTGCTAAAACTATAGAGAAAAGTGGGGAGGAGGGAGAGACTTGATGAGGGAATAAACTTGCAAGAGCCTCAAAGCTGTCGGTGATGGCCCATCTCATGGGAGGCACACTGTTGGCAGCAACTGCTTTTTCTTATCATTAGAAGGTGCAAGTTATGCATATGCATTTTTGTCTGTAGGTATCTTTTGTAAGTATATAAAATAATAGATACTTCAAACTAACAAAAATAATATAATCTATATAATTATCCAGAAAGGAAATATTTGAAACACTGTTTAAGGAATACGCTGAGAGTTATAATAAAAGTAATGACTTAATAGGTCAATCAGTTATTGAGCAGATATGCACTGTGTCTCTTTACCACCACTTACAGATGACAAAACACAGGCTCACAGTCACTGCTGCGTCCTAGATGGAGGCAGCCTGGGTGTGGCTGTGGCTCAGTCTGACCCAGCATCCGGACTTCACCGCTCACCCACCTTCTGAGAGATGGAACTGTGGACCTCGGGTTTTGAAACTTGAGTTTCCCAGTTCCCTGGCCCTCTTTCAAACATGTAATAACTAGGAAGAAAAGATCTCTTTTTTTTTTCCTCACAACATTCTCTTCATTTACAAACTGGGGCTATGGTGAGTTCTGGGGAGGAGCCAGGGTGGGTCCAGGGAGGCTGGGCCCTGCTCCCACTGGCGAGATCCAAGGCTCACATCAGGTAGCTGAACACCATGTATGATTGGCCAGTTCCAGCAGCATGGGGTCCCTGAAGAACTTGCTGATGCTCACATCCTCCCTCAGGCCCTTCCTGCGCAGGGTTTGATCATGAACTCGTGGGCCAGCTGTGGGGCCGACTGCGACTCCAAGGGCCAGATGATGACACTCTTGTCCAGGGGGTCACCAGGTACGATCTGCAAGTGGTAGAAGACAGACCAGGAGAAGGCCTGGCCCTGCATGTGAGTGCGAAGGTCAGTATCGACGCCAGAGGAGTCGATGGCCAAGATGAAAGCTTTGATGGTGTAGAGAGGGGAGCCCCGAATGATTGTATCCTGAGTCATGTGCCCCGAGCCCAGCCAGGACGCTGTCCATGGCAGACACGCAGTCCACAGGCTCCTAGACCTCCGGAAGTAGTAGGGCTCCATCAGGCGGGGTGTGGCCATGAGGAAGATGAGTAGACCACCCTGCGGGCTGTGGGAATGATCTGGGCCCCTTCCCAGTGCAGGTGCTCCTGGGCCTCTGCTGCATCCAGGATCTTAAACTTGACATTGCGAATCAGCTCCTTACAGAGGGGCCCTTCCCTGGTCCCCCACTGAAGCCCAGCCCAATGCTGTCCTTCACTGAGCCAAGGAGGACCTTTTCCACCTCCTACAGCAGGGCGTCATCCACCAGGGTGTTGGGGCCAGTGGTGTCAGGACCAAAGGCCCAGATGGAGTGGGCAGCCAGCAGATCCCAGTTGTACTTGGTCTGGAAGATCTCATTAAGCTTGTTATTTTTAAAAGGTTATTGTTCTTTTTATTCCCAAATAATGGCTGTAAGCTTAGAGAACACAACAGCTTCCAGCCTTAAGAGTATTTTGCAGAATGATTTAAAGCCCCATGACTGGGGTAATTCGAACTAATCTCAAGGTTTAACCAGCAAATCAGGACAAGAATCCTAAATACTTTAGAAGTGCACTTTTCACTCAAATAATGTTTTTTGGTGAAAATAAATTGTTAGGCTGCTCTGCCCAAGTGATACCAGGAATTGAGGCAGCAGGAGCCAAGGAGAAGCCAGTCCCGCCCTCAGCCACAGGACCGGGAAGCAGGGAGCTCTGGGCCAAGGCCCTCCTGACAGCAGCCAGCATCAGACTGGAGCCAGAGTGAAGAGAGCCCGCTGATTTTCCGGAGGCCCCACTGGTCACCACGCACTTCACAGCTCCCACAGGTCTCGGGCCTGAGCCTGGAACGTCACCAACTCCAAGTGAGATTCCCAGATGCCCGTAAATCCAGCCTCAAAAAGAATGATCAGGACTCAAGAGGGAGAAATAAAGTAGATTTACATGGACAAGACAGAGGTGACTGAGAAACCATTCTGGGAAATGCCAGAACACAGCTGGATTCCTGTGAGATAAAACCAAAACTGCCTCAGAGCTGGAGAAAGCTCCTGCCCAGGGACAGGGCTGCTGAGGCAGAGTCCTCTCCCTGAGGTGAGAAAGGATGAGGGTGACAAAATGTGAGCCAGGTATGGACACGGGGCTAGGACTCCTCCCAGCCTTGGCGTGCCTTGGTTTCCCAAGGTGACACCCAGTCACAATGTAGCAGAGAGGATACACTTCAAAATTTAGTAACAGGAGGACTAATACGTCAACATGTGGTTACACCACCCCACCTCCGAGGTACATTTGTCAGGTGATTGTTCCCTACGAAGCCCCAGAAAGAGCAGCTCCGTGCTGCACCAGCGAGGCCTCAGCCACATGGCGCTCTCGGGCCAAACAGACGCAGGGCTCCTCCAGGCCCCAGAGCCCTGCCAGTCCCAAAAGTGTGAGCGGACTTGCTTTGAGTGGCTCTGCAGGAACTCAGTCACCATAAACATCTGCCTCTTTGCATTCAAAG